TTGTTACCATAAGTGTTTAAAAACAGTTGGATGGTAGTCTAACCAAGAAACGGCATAATATACTTGAAGTCAGTCAGTCATATGTAACGTAGATACTGGCGCGTGTGCACATCGGTTCAAATTGTCACGCCATTTGCACAGGAAGATGTTGTTAGTGTAAATCCCAGAATAGTGGAGGCAGTAGGAATATTAGTGGTAACAAAAAGGTCAGGTGTCAAATATATGATTTGAGGAAATATGGACTAGTCGGATAGGAAATTTAAACTTCGTAGTTGTAGCCTATTAATTTTAAAAGGTAGTTGGAAAATCTAAGTCAAATGATATGCAGTTGTATCCATTCTTTCCTTTCCCCCTTCTATCTTGAGCTTAGTGCCATCTCATCCTTCAATAAGGTTTTTTTCTGGATTATATTTTCTGATTAACCAAATATACTAACATTAGTCTTATTATTGCGATTCCTTTGCTTTCCATCTTTTTAATCCCCTGTACTGATGTGAACTGAGTTGGTTTACACCAATACATATGTCTTAGGCCATGTGTGGTCTATAATATTATTGCCATTATGTAATGTGTAATGTTTTATATCGTGTCACATGTGATTTCACGATCGTGTGTAACTTGTTTATTTGTACATACACAAACTTAAAACTGGTTTGGTTTAGGGATTTAAAATATGAACATCTTTCTGACGTGGAAGATTTACGCACACTTATGGAGAATTCGGTCCAATGTACAATAAGTTTACTATGTCAACAAAACGAGAAAAATAAGCTCGATGAAGAAATCCAATCGAAAGCTAACGAATCGTTATTAAATAGTGATTGTTATAATATAACACTTCAATGGACACATAAACAAAATCAATATGATGTTTCATCTCTTCATCCGTCTACAGTTCTATTATCACATATACTTCCATTTGCTTGTATTTCTTCATGTGTTCCACCAAAAGAAATCTATTGTACATATCAAGTACCTTCACTACAATCATCAGAACCGGATGATCCTTTCGATGATATGTATATATCTTTGACAGCACGTGAACGTCGTAAACGTGGTTTACCGAATGAACACCAATCAACTATTCTACCTAATAATGAACAACTGGAAACAGAAATAGATGTTACAGAACAGGTAAAAAAACAATATTTTATATTAACTCAATTTACATTTGAAGCAGACAAATAAAAATGTGGGATCTTGCATAAAGTTACATCAAATTCAGTTATATCATAATTCGAAATGATAGTATAGAAAGACAAAATCCACATAATTGAAAAGATGGTAAACTTGCGATTATGAACGTAAATGTAAAGGTTGATAGTGGTGTAGTGGTATAATGATTAAAGTACTTGCCTTTCGACCGTTAGGTCGTGAGTTAAAGTCCAACTCCATCTACTTTGGTCTAAGCTATCAGACAGTATCATTAACCCACAATACAATCAGAGTAGCTCGAAGCTAACAACATAAATCTATATGTAGTAAATAAGTTGAAATAAAAGAGAAGGAAGGTTAAGGATAAAGTGCCAATGTAATTTCTAACGTGTAAAACGTGGTTTTATTTCCGTTACTACGATTGATTTTTTCTATGTAATTTTGGATATCCAAACATCAATATGTTATCTAATTAGAACAACACCACCCATTATATTTAAACCATTCTACACGTTTCAAAAGATGCCATATCGTACTAGAGTTCTATAATTTTAAAACTAGTCCCATCTCTTCAGTATTATCAATATGTTATAGTGGTAATTATAAATAAAGAGAAATATAACAAAAAAATAAACCTGGTATGTGATTCTCGAGATTCAAGAAAATTATAATAAACAATTTAAATTAAGGGTTAGTTTCGTAATATTATATCTTTATTGTAAATCTATGAAATCAGGAAGTAGACAATTAAAACTTATTTTTGCATAAAGCCACTTAATAACATCCTTTCATTAAACATCTAAATACAAATGCGAACTTTCAACTATAGAATGTTAATCAACAAAGATTACTGTGTGGATCTGTAGCCATAACTGTTAAGAATTCAGTAAATTGAATGGGCTTTGGACCCATAATTTTGTAGACCATTGAACGTTAGCTCCTGATCTGACATCAGTTACTGATGAATTTTATCCAAACCAACTTTTCCTATTGAAATTAACTGTCAAGTAGTTTTACTCACTGATATGTTTTACATAGTTTTTTTTACAAAGTTAATCAATCGAGCTTGTATTTAATAGTTGTTTGAGCATTTTCACCATATTTCCTCTATAGGTGGCTCCAGTAGGCAACCCCCTTCCACAAAAACCTAACTCCTTTGAATCCCTTCCAGAGGCAGTTTGGTGGAGTATCAGTCAGTGTGCAAACTTAATTGGTTCTCAAGTAGGGTCAGAAGTTATTGTTCAAACCTCTGGTCTTGCACCCGGAAAGCCTTCTCAAAGTTCAAGCTCCGTAAGTGACGAACTACGTCGACGTTTGTTGGGATGTATCATTCTTACTGGTGGAGGAGTAGCTGGTGTTAATAATCAAATAATGGAAAGATGGTTGACTGAGCAGCTAATTGTAATAGCACGGGAAAAACAAGCAGCACCAACCGTATCAAGCCACATACCAACAGTTGAAATCATTCATCACTCTGAACCTGGAGACCTCTCTTGGTCTGGTGCTAGGTTGCTACTGACTTCTGACTTGATGAATGACTTGTGGATCACACCAGTAGAATGGAACAAATTTGGTTCGAGAGCTCTTCGTGAAAAAGCACCCTTCCCTTGGTGATTTAGACTATAAATTGTAAATTTATGAACGCATCTGTGAAATTTCTCATTCATGTTATCAAATGCATTTATCCCAGTTACTTCTAGTTTGTTCTTTGCGTACCTGTCGAAAAGAAATTAAAACTTGCCCAAGGAAATTACGTGTACTAACGTTCATCTTCATTTATATAAAGAGCCAGTCCTCATTCTTATATGATATCAAGCCGTATACTGCCTAATATCCATATAGCCTAAGGAAATACAAATCATTCCAATAAGCTGTTAAGATTAATAACAGTAGTATTGGTACTGTGTTCAGGAAGAAACCTATTAGTCGTGAAGTCATTATTTGAGGGGTCGCTTGGATCTACAAAAGAAAATTGTCTCTGGGAATTCCGTAGTCACCTGTCATCGAAGTAAATCCTGTAAAGTATATCCCTCCCGTTTGATAAATTTCTAACGAGCTCATTCGCTTAGATATTGATTAGTGCGAATGAAGTATTGCAGTCCAACGAACACCCGGATAATACGAGTTACCGTCTGTACTTATTGCAAATGTAGGGAGTGGATAACTCGACTTCTCCCATTATATAGTTCTTAATAAGTTGGTAACTAGCAACTCTAAAGCATCAATAAGTAGTGTTCATCAAAGACTGTCTATTACAATGATGTATTTTAGAGTAGATAACTAATCATCACTCACTTGATGAAGTCACTGAATAAACATTAGTAGGGCTATAACCAAAGAATCTATCAGAAAAGTCAATGAGAAACCCCAGGAGACTGATTCTCATACGCTATAACTCAGTTATACTCTATTGCGCTCGCCTACTTGCACTTCACCTTGGGTATTGAATACGCGCTTTAGAAATAAGGCAACTATTTTCAGAATACCGGAGTGTTCAGTCGCACAGACACGGAAAACTGACACAAATCAGTCAGCTCATCCGCAGACAACACACTTTTGTTTAAATCAATAAGAAGAGGAGCAGTTCAGTCGACGCAGGTTGTGGTTGGAAACACATGCAAGGATGTGTTTGATGACCACTACACCGAAGACTTGCAATACAACTGATTAACATTTGGGATAAAAACGACTATTGACAGGATTGCAACTCACCTAAATTACGCAAGTTATGACGGATTTACAGAAACATGTGGTTTCATTTATGGCCTTCTCAGATGCAAATGATGTAGTTACAATTTACAAGTTAAAATGAATACCGACACTGATAGAATTGATGGAAAGTGAGACCAAACTAATATAAAGTAAATACAAATAACAAAAAATCACGAAGCCCCAGGCAAAAAGCGATAAAGATAAACTGAAGTGTTGTAAAGTAGAGATTAATTCAGGAACAGAAAACTTGGGCACAGTTGTTCTCCATAACGTCACCCTCCAGCATAATGTCAGTCATCTGCAACGTAGGACCATGTGCGTATATGCATCAATTCAAGTCGCCATACCCCACTAACACGACAAGCTAAACACCAAATTCATAGAAGCAGTTGCTCCAATGGTATAAATCTACAACTACTGTACCACAATAACCAAGACAAGCTACATTTGTATTATGCCAGGTGCTATGCTGTTTTTAACTGATGGGACTAGTCACCACTATGTTATGAATGTTGGTTACAGCTTAAATATTTAAAATGCGTCGACCAGTATAGTTAAAACGTTGTGCAAGAAGTGTGGGTTAACTTTAGTCAACAGAGGTTATGCAAGGACCTATTGCTTAAAAGAAGTTTAGTCTCATGAGGAATAAGACAGATTTAAGCTCAACCGGATGTTCGTAAGGTAATATTGTTACCCGTGTAGTCAAACTTTATTCCTAACCACTGACGTTCCAAAACAGCCAGACTCGCGAAAAATTAGTATAAGAAAACTAACACGATAAATTATATTATATATATTAAAGTCACATAAAAGCTGCAGAAAAAATGAATATTCATATTATGTATAATATGGAGAAGGACAAGTCACACAAATATAAATAATAATACACATGACTATTAAGCACATGCGCATAAAAACAAAATAAAGAAATGCAAACTAATGTGCGTATATCTAAAAAAACAAACTAATTTACATAAAAAATAAAACAATTATTATATAAAACGGTCCAGCCTAATTGGATGTCCATAAGAGGGAGATAAAATAGGACATTTGTAAGTAAAACGAATAATAAACACCAGTAGCCCCCATCACAATAAATGCCATACAACATTTCTGAGATCATAGAAAACGCATTAAGATGCGACCGACGAATCCCCATTCGTATCTTCTTTTACATCATCTTCAGCTTTTTCTTCTGGTTGGTCAGAATTGTTTCCATTCTCAGACACTCCGTTAGTTAGCTTTTGATTGGACATTTTGTTTGCCAACTCAGTAATAATATCACAAAATCGCGTACAATGCTGTTCAGGTATGGTGACTGAGGAACGAATGTTAGCACGAACTTCGGATATACGCAGAAATACACCAAATCTATTAGAACCAACATCGAAATAAAATGTCTTGTTGCCTACGAAGAGTACTTTAGATTCAGGTAAGTCTGAAAATATATCTGTAAGAAAAAAAGGCAGTTTATGATATTAAATTTCTTGAATTCATATTGTTTAAATGGTGGATATTTAGCATTAATAAAACAAGAGATGTACTACTATCCTTGATAGTGAAAGTGGTATATAAAAATTGTCTTTTAAAACTATACAATAATAAACTGCCATTCTCATTACTAAGTAGTATGAAAACGAGCCTCATATTTAGCAGGAATGTGGTGTGCAATAACAAACACACTAAATAGACGACCATTACGAACATAAAAGAAAAACCTGAACTGATAATAACTACTTTAATTAAAAAGGAACCCTATATTAACAAAAACGGCGTGGATATCATTTAGCATTTGGGTAGGGAACTTGAGCGATACGATGTTGTCCGACAACGAAAAAATCATTGAAAATGAGCCGCAAACTATGTGCCAAGATTAACGACAGTCAGTCAGTTACAACGTAGGACCAGGCACATACATGCATCGATCCAAGTTACCTCATTAGCACAGCAAGACGAACACCGATCCACAGAAGTAGCTAATTCAATGGTGGTAGTATATAAAAGAAAGATTGCATATAGTACAAGAAGGAAGGATTAGTTCGTAGAAAGAAAGATATGAAGTGATTTTAATCTCATAATTTAAGGGAAGACAGAGAGTGTATAAACCGACGCCATTGTGATCGATTCTGAGCCATGTCACCCACAGTCCCCAGCCATTGGTTATGATAATCACATGGACCCCAACCAAGAAGTCTACATCTACCAACATGCCTAAGACTAGAAGTTAGTGACCTCAAGCACTGATGCCACGTTTTTATTTGGCCACTCCTAACTTTTTTCCAGCCATTCCCAAGACTAGTCAGCATTGCGCGTCGTGGTAATCGGTGTTCGGGCATACGTAACACGTGGCCAAACCATCTTAGTCGATGAAGATTCACAACATCATCGACTGATTTACCATCATTCCATAATACAATGCGTCTGACCTCACTATTACTTACCCGGTGATCCCAGCAGATGCGAGCAATATTACTAAGGCATCTGTGGCCAAATACTAGTAGCTTACGAGTATCTTCTACTCTTAGTGGCCACGTTTCGCAGCCGTAAAGTTGAACAGAACGAACTTTTATTGAGACGGATATTTCACCTTCGCCATAGGTGACCTATATTGGCAAAAGCCAAACGAGCTTTTCGAAACCGTGCTGAGATTTCGTCAAACACCAACCCATTACGGGTGATCAGACTTCCAAGTGAAGTTTTCAACGCGTTCGACTACTCCACTCCTTATCCTTACTTCATGTGTTGACGCAGGCTAGTCCTGAAGCAACAACTTATATTTAGAGGGGGAGAAGCTCATTCCAAACATCCTGGTATTGTTCCTCAGTGCCATCAAAAGTCTCTGCGTTTTATCAGCGTCTTCACCAAACAGGACTATATCATCTGCGTATTCTAAGTCGATAAGTGGACCTCCAGGTAGGAGATAAGATTAACGACACTGAATGGTTGTTCAGACTGTCGAAATTCAAGTCGCCGAACTGTTCACTTTACACAAAAAATGTTTGGTATGTTAGCTGATTACTCCCAGTGAAATAAAGTTGTCTAGAATTGTCCAAATTTTCAAAGTCGTTGAGGCTGAGTTAAAACAAACAATTCTACTTTTTCTCCAAGTTATAGGATTAAAGCCACTGAATTTAAAACGTCGAATTTCTTGGTGAGATTCTATATCCATAAAATCCACAGAAAACGCATTTTAGTGTAAAAACAAAGCGTTTACAGAGCCAGAAGTGGGTATACTTGTAACAGGTGATAATGAAGATTGCTGTCGTTATTATCAATCTGATTACACGGTTGTGGACCGCAATTCATTTAAATAATCCAGTCAGTCATGCGCAACGTACAACCCGTGTGTACGTCGGTTCAAGTTACCATATCCCATTAGCACAGATATGAAGTTATCAGGCCAAATCACATAGTAGAAATAGTCACAGGATTGTCTATTTATTTACGTATTTTAACACATAGATATTGGTACAAGGAGGCACCAAATACATATGCGCCACACAGATCTCGTTTGATGTGTGTGAGGGCTGTGATACTGACCGGGTGCCCAAACCGAAGCAGGTGGTTTTCTTAGGGGGTCACACCTGGAGCCTTCGACCAGAAGGTCTGATTCACAAGGCAGTGGCGCATCATAAGGAGATGCAGTCCCATGGTAGCCGTTCACCAACGATTGATTCATACGCCATTTGTGGTTTCAGGATTCTGGAGCCCATGTGCACCATTGGTTTGGAATCAGGGTTTTCCAACTCCCTTAGATGGACTCTCCACGTCCACCAACCCGGTTAAAGCGTCGGACATTCGCTTTTCGTCCTCTCAACTTCGTAAGCAATACTCTTGCCACGAGAAGGCAGTGAGTAGGACTTCCCTGGCAGAGGCTATATACGCGTGGCCATGTGAGAGCATTTCAAGAAGGAGAACTGATTCTCCACACTCTCGGCCGTACCAGGGTATTTGGGGGCCACAGGATTGTTAGTGTGTAGCAGAACGTAGCATCAAAGTTGCAGCAATTTTTAGAGTGGAGAGTTTTAGTGGATTGAAAGCACGGCATTAGGATAACACATGAAGATCAGACGAGAAGACGGCTCGGACTGCAGAACACACCGAAAGATGGAAATGGAGGATTAAAGGATACGTATGTGTATATACTCTGTAATTTTTTACAATAAACCTACATTCCTCATGCCTTTTGTTTCGTTTTACAGAGATAGTAACAGTATTAGTGGTAACAGAATTAGGCATCGAACATACGATTTCAGAAAATATTGATTAGTGGAATGAAAAAAATTAGGGTTAGGATCTAAGGGAAGATAAGGAGTGAATGTACCCGTGCTATTGAGAAAGACTGAGCTATGTTGTCCAGTCTCTAAACGCGGACACCAACAAGATGGTCTGAACGTACCCATACAGCTTAGTCAAAAAGTCAGTGAGATGAACAATAATATCATGTTCACATGAAATTATATTCCAATTGGAATATATATATTCATACTAAATTTCGTCTCAGTTTTTCCTTGCCTTTTTTCTCGATCATTCCGTGTACTTGTGGGAAGTGTTATTCTGAAATCGTCAACAAAATTATACCCACTCCAAGCTTATACGCGTCTGTGTTAAGGCCTGAACATCAGAATCCGAGTAATAAAAATAACACGACGTTTTGTCCGTTTTCCATGTGTCTCAAGTAAACTGTATCTATCCCATGTGACATTTTCGTGGTATATGCGGCTAAGTAAACGAGTGGTTTGGATAATGCTCCACTCGTAGTAATGAGTAAAAATCAGATTCCTCTCAACGTTTTGAATTTAGACTATGGTAGAAAATAATTTACTTATCATCAATAAGACTGCCTACTTATAAGCGAAAGTACCATATATGTTACCCCTTCTCATAGTCTCCATCACATTGTAATTCAAAATATCTCCCCGACATAAAGAGTGCTATGGACATTAAACATTAATGCTGGTTTTATCGAACCTTACTAGCTTAAAGTACCCAATCTCGTATCGCGTCAATAACTATGCATGGTCATGTGTAGGTGCCACTCCACTAGATAGTCGGCAAAACAGCCCCAACTCCATTTGCTTTCTACTCTATTTAAATCTGTTGTTTTCCTAACCCTCAGCTTTTACTTCCTCGGTCATCAAGATATCGTACTTTACTTATTTCGATGTAAACATCGTCTGGTTCATTGTTATATACAGCATCTCTCAGGCCAGTGAAACAAAGCCGAAGCTTACGGGGAACTGCCACTTCAGCAACAAACTTGTCATGAGGTTGAAGACGAATCATTTAGCACCATCCCATCTTATCTAGTTTACGAGCCTGACTGGTTACAACAACTTATGAATATCAGATTTCAATTGACTGGCTACCAACTTGTAGCCAAACTTGTCGTCTAACTCATTGAGTACATCGAAATTTCCTGACCTTCAGTGTGTCATGCATCCATGTAGAGACATAATCGAATAGCAAGTATAGGACTGAAACTCAAGCAAACTACAGTTGACGGCCAGTCGGTGTCGCACGTTTAGGTAAGTTTCTGAAGATCAAGTACCCTCCACTCCCCTCTCCCGATATATTATATTTGATACCAGAGATTCGTATTAGCCATATGTGTTAGTTTTCAAGTAACCACAAATGATTGACTGTAATATTAAATATGTAGACGAATAATGTAATTCGCTTTACGCTTCAGATTATTTAAAAGGATAGGAAAGGTGAAGTCTACGAAGTTAAATCCACATAATATTGTTTGATTTCTTCTGACTAAAGATAGATCTATGCATATTTTATTAGTTGGAAAGCGTTACAAGTAAACTAGAATATATCCATTGTTTACATGTTCACGTTATTTTTGATGTTTCTACTATAAATCTGTCTCCATTGCTTCACTAACGACTAATACACTATTCGGAATATAATCTATGCAACCTTTCTGCTAACCTCAGGATCCAAAGATGAGCAAGCGGTTACGGACAATAACTTCGGTAACAGTATTCTCAGGCAATAATCGCTTGCAGAGAAAAAGTTGTTTTCCGACGTTGAGGGTTACATGAGATAAGCGAGACATAATATAGTCGCTAAGTTTTGTCATGAACGGATTAAGCTATAACGAATGTATATGGTCAGGAAGACGAGGTTATGATATGAAAGAGCTCAGTGAACGATTTCAGCTCTATAGTTGTATTTACGGTCTTATTTTCGGATCATTTAATTTTATGACTCGTAGCATTAGACCCAGGACTTGGTATGGAGTAGCGACGAAAGATCAATACTACAAAGATCACAGGAAGAATTGAGCTCAAAAAAGCTGATTGACTTAATCAGCTAGGCGTTGATGATACTGACAATAATTATTGTTCTCCAGGCGTATATATTTAATAAAGCTGAAAGAGACTTTACAAACCTTTACTATCGTTCACTCACTTTGCTGTTAGCTAACTGAACTCCCTTGACCGAAGTTCAGGATTGACATATTCTACTTCGTTGAGGAGGTAATTATTTAATGTAAATCGAATCGAAGGTTTTAGGTGGCAGGACACTTCTCGAGGACAATTTTTGTCTGTAACCGTATTGACCACATTATTCGAAACACAAATCACCGAATTATCGAAAATTTAGTAACCGGTTAATGTTAAAATTAGCTATCACTGACTTATGAAACTTGAAGCAATTCTTGAAAAATCTAAAGGACTGCTCAAGACTGCTGCTCTTCTGCACAATGAAAGCCATAGAAGATAAGACCTATTTACCCAAACGAGGTTTTTCTAACCTCTGTCTGACGTAAACGTCATGACAGTTACCTTTTCTTGGTTCATTTACGATTGTTTTTACATTATTCTATTCTCAATTTAAACATTTACGTCTCCCAATTTCTATGGACTTTTTGTTATGTTTTCATTCGCTTACCATATATTACATCCAGATCTCTTTTGACCACACTTTGTATTCTTCAGTCTTCCCTGTCTGAGCTTTTATTATGTGATTTTGATTGAAGACTCACCTTTTGTTGCCTAGTTTTCTATTGCATGTTGCCGGACTATCGACAGTAATGTCGTGTTAGACTAAGCTCAGGGTCACGGCGTGGTTCAGTGTGTGACTATTAACCTTTGACTGTCTGCTTCGGAGGTTTGCTGGAATCCCTGCAGATATCTGATCCAATATTGTTGAAAATAATGCTATTGATCCTCAGGTACTTAGCTCTTTTATGTCAGCTATTTATTTTTTTGTGTAGCACGGTAATTTGTGTTGAAGAAACTTTTGACTGTATAGCGCAGGCTGTACCGTTTGTGGTATTTTGTATTTTGCTATAACTGGTTCTATTTCCTAAATTAGACCGCTTAAATTGAGCGCAGAGTTTGTGTTTTGATTTAATTTGTTACGAGTAACTCTGAATGCTTCGTACGCTTTACAGAAGAACGTAGTCTGGTCTAATCGAACAAATTTTGGTTTGTTATTTCCGCGTTCAAACCTAATATTGGCAGTTCGGTTGTTACAAATAAGATGGCATGGCTCAGCCTTTCAGGCGTTGTCATTCTTGTGTAACTTATCTCTTTTATCCATACTAACTACATTGTTCTATATCCAGCCTAAATATGTCCTCCATCATATGCTGGTGATGATTACGATGGGACGGGTCAGTGTAGGCGATAATGTGAATTCCACGTAAGATCTTATAGATTAAGTGGTCACATCACGACAAATCTACAATTCTAGGATTAGGTCTATTATTAGAGTAGTACTAATAACAAAGTAGACCATAATCATACAATATGTTTTCTCTATTTTGATGCAGGACTGTACTGCACAATATGTATGAAGTTAGCTTGTATGCTGAGAAAGTCGCATAGAGTGATTTGTAATAAGGTCTTATGTAATTTTTATATATAGCAGAAGAGGCTTTCAACATAAAATTCGACGTAGATCAGTACTCATATGGATGTCGTTCCGAGGTTCGCACACGTCTACGAACCTATTTCAATATTTACATGTGTTTGAGAATTTATTCTACAGTTAATGCAAAAGTTTTAGAACTTGTGGATCGTGATTAAGTGAAAGACAAGGCCGGTCGGAAGTTATTGGTAATAAGCTCTCTTTCCTATTAACTACGAAGAATTTTGAATTTTGGTTGTTATGGTTTACCTCCAAACTATTTAGTTGACCTTCTCATTTTCATATGTAAACGTTCCTAACAAGTATATGTGTGATCAGATTGTTCGGAATGTATTGCGCAAATATATGAACTTCATCTTCTCATTGCATCATCGTAACTTGTTGTAATTGCATAAATAATCAAGATGCTACGAGAGCAAATGTTTTACAATCGTAATAGAACTGTTACTATTCACTTATTTCTTGAAGACGCCACAGGTAATCGGAGTTTGACAACTCTTCAACCAGTAACACCTAATATGAAGCATATCCACCAAGTGAAATCAAAAGACAGAGGCGAGGAGTTTCGAAGATATATTTGATAGGCTATCAATATATCGAGGATCATCTGATCTAATCTGGCTAGCGATTGCACGGCGTTCCAACTCGTGATCTGGTGCGGACGCATGACCGAGCGCCGTCAGCTTGGTGAGACCATTAAAACTAATGTGGTCAGCATCCAATGTCTTTAACTTACGGAGCTATTTATTTTGAGGATTTATTTACCACTACAGATTACCCCCCCTAGTGAGGGTAATAATGACCCTAAGACGTGGCCAGCCAGAAGTTTAAACCCAACGAGTTTGTCGTTCGTAAACACTCTTCTGATAGCTTTCTAGGTTTAGCAGCATCTGGTCGTCTTTCCTTACTCCAAAGGACCATGAAGTACAATTTAGTAAAAAAAGAAAAAGTACAATGAAAGTTTCGGTTCGTCGTAAACTTCATCGTTTTTTCCAGCCGTCCTGGAAAAGAAAAAAAATATCTAAGTGCATGTCGAAATACACTCGTACGCGCGTAAAAACACAAAGCAGGCGAAAAAATGGAAAATAAACTCATGCACACGTAATAGCGCACAAAAGGAAGATTTTTATAATATGTTTTGTTTTTTTAAATAAAAGTATAAATATATAGGCATGTTAAAATTGATTTTTTTCAAATTACACATATGACAGAGGAAAATCGAGACGGTATAAAATGTCGACTAGTATCTCACGTGCAATAATCGTTCAGATGTTTTGGAAATCTTACTCTTCCAGAACGCGTGGTTCTAAGTTTATTTTCTGATAGGAGGTTAGATCCATGTTCATTGAAGAGGATGAAGGATCAACGAATTCTCCTGGAAGTCGAAGTGTCGTTCTATATACGAGTTGAGCCGCAGTGTATCCAATGTCAGCTGTCACTGAATTGCGACTACCAAGTAAGACGAGTGGAAGAGCGTCCGTTCACTGAGAAATGTTTGCAGCTGATAGTGAAGCTTTTAAATGTCGGTGAAAGTGTTCTAACAACCCGTTCGCTTGTGGGTGGTAGGCGGTCGTTGAGAAGCGAGTGATTCCTAATAGTGTGGTCAGACAACAGAACAGTTCAGATTCGAACTGGCGTCCAAGACCTGTAGTGATGGTTGAAGGGCAGCCGAAGTTTGCTACCCATCGTTCGACGAGGTCGTGGACCACTGTTTCAGCAGTGATGCCCTTGATAGGTACTGCTTCTAGCTATCGAGTGAAGCGGTCTATGCAGGTTGAGAGGTAAGAGTATCCATTTGAATCTGGTCAATGTCCTACCAAATCCAGATGAACATGGTCGAAACGAGCATCGGGAGTTTTAAATGAGCCTAAGGGACATTTATTGTGTCTGACAACCTTAGATTTTTGGCAGCTTACACAGGAGCGTGCCCACTCCCTCACGTCTTTATTCATGCCAGGCCAGCAAAACCGTTCTGCTATAAGCTTGATGGTTGCACGAACACCTGGATGATGAAGATTGTGCAACGTATTGAAGACGTTGCGTTGATAATGCTTCGGCACGATTGGACGAGCCCTACCTGTGTCACACAGTAAGGTTTTCTTACCTGCTCCCATCTGTATGATGCGTAGTTCAAGGGTTGTAGACTATAACTCGTGCTGAAGATCAGTGTCTTCTTTTTGAAGCTGGGCGAATTCAAGAAGGTCGGTCCCCTGGAAACTGTTCAAGGAAATTATTCGAGACAAGGCGTCTGCGACTACATAGTTTGCTCCAGAAATGTGTTGGATGTCCGAAGTAAATTGCGAAATGTAGTCCAGTTGTCGAGACTCACGAGGAGAGTATGTGGTGGACCAGACAAATATGAACGCAAAAAGTATAAACAAAGTTACTAAAGATAA